CAAATATAGGTTATATATATGTGTTTGCACACAACATGATATCAGGAAGAAACGTAATATGCACAGGACGACAGGGAGGTGACGGTGGTGCGTCATTTGAGTTACTCCTCCCACTTCTGCTAGTTTTACTAAGATAACTTATCCTGTGCGAATTGGCCATTATTATTACAGATGTCCTGTGGTAAAATTACATTTCCCCCCATTATGCACATTCCCATTAATTATGTGTGACAGTAATCAACTGGTGACTCAAGTATGCGAGAAATACGGATATGTCATTTTATGAAGGATGCGCATAATTTAAAAACCACTAAAACCATCCTGTGATCTAGCTGTGAAACACACTCTCTCAATCCCCTTTTGAACCTAACAATGATTTCCCACAAGACAGCTTTACAGCTTGCACTGTTTTCTGCAAAGTGAGTCAGCGAGCTGCATGCTCCGTCACTGTACCCCACTTGCTTGTGAACCCACATTTGTCCCTGAACCCACATTTGTCCCACATTTGTCTTTAGCTGCTCCTGGCTTTTGATCCAATGGTATATCATGGTGTATCACTGATTTTGATAAACAGGACAACACAAACTGCATAAGTGAATTGCAGTTCCCAAAAGCAGACAATTGTTTTCAACATCAGAAACAGAGAGAGCTTTATTGCCAATTATGTTTACACACACAAGGAATTTGTATTGGTGACAGGACCTTCCAGTGCAGAAGGAAAATACAGACATAGTGCAGACATACATAGGAATTACACAATAAAAATTAAATGTACAGTTTAAAATGTTATTTAGTGATGTAAAATGTTGAGATGTTTTGTACAAATGGACAGGTATGATAGACAATGTATAGTTATGAGAGTTTTAACTGTTTAGGCTGAATATACTGTAGCCTGAGGGAAAAAAACTGTTCTTGTGCCTGGCTGTTCTGGTGCTCGGTGCTCTATAGTGCCGACCAGAGGGCAACAGTTCAAAGAAAAGGTGGGCTGGGTGTGTGGGGTCCAAAGTGATTTTCTTAGCCCTTTTTCTCACTCTGGAGGTGTAAAGATCTTGGAGGTTGGGCAGCGGGGAACCAATAATATTCTCAGCCGTCCTGACTTTATGCTGTAGTCTCCTGATGTCTGATTTGGTAGCTGAACCAAACCAGACAGTTATAGATGAGCACAGGACAGACTCAATGACAGCGGAGTAGAACTGTTTTAGCAGCTCCTGTGGCAAGTTGAACTTCCTCTGCTGAGGAAGGAAGTACAACCTCTGCTGGACCTTTTTCACTATGGAGTCTATGTGAGTGTCCCATTTCAGGTCCTGAGAGATCGTAGTGCACAGGAACCTGAATGACTCCACTGTTGCCACAGTGCTGTTCATGGTGAGTGGAGGCAGTGCTGGTTTTTATTTTCTGAAGTCCACTATCATCTCCACTGTTTTGAGAATGTTCAGCTCAAGGTTGTTATCAGACAGCCATCTGTTCAACCTCCAGTCTGTAAGCAGATTCGTCACCATTTTGGATAAGGCCGATGACTGTTGTGTCATCTGCAAATTTCAGGAGCTTGACAGAGGGGTCTTTTGCAGTGTAGTCGTTTGTGTACAGGGAGAAGAGCAGTGGGTAGAGGACGCAACCCTGAGGAGCACCGGTGCTGATAGTGAGAGTCCTGGATGTGAGTTCCCCCAGTCTCAATAGCTGCTGCCTGTCTGTTAGGAAGCTGGTGATCCACTGACAGATTGGGCTTGGCATGTAAAGCTTGATCAGTTCAGCTGTGAGAAGATCAGGCATGATGGTATTGAAGGCCGAATTGAAGTCCACAAGATCCTTGCGTAAGTCCCAGGTCTGTCGAGATGTTTCAGGATGTAGTGCAGTCTCATGTTGACTGCATCATCCACAGACCTGTTTGCTGTATAGGCAAACTGCATGGGGTTCAGTGATGTTCTTCAGGTAGGCCAGCACCAGTATTTCAAATGACTTCATGACCAAAGATGTGGGAGCGATAGGTCTGTAGTCATTAAGTCCAGTGATTTTTTTTGGGGGGGCGATTCGCAAGATTGTCTCGAACTGCGATCGCTGAAATGTGATGGCGGGTGCACTAACAAGGACGCTAAACAGTAAACACTGCATTCTCTAGCAGTCATCAGCCTGCACAACTCTCACTAGCTGGCCTCCGTTACACACGCAATGAAAGAGTGGATGTCTATTTATCGTAGCAGAAGCGCAACAAAATAATGCTTCATGAAAAATAAAGCGAAGATGATGAACAGATGACAAGGAAGCATAAAATATTTACATACCGATGATCCAGTTTTTTGTCCAGTAAGAGTACATGTTCCAGACAAACAGAGCTCCAGACAAACAATGACAACATTCGCCACGCCATCATGTCACAACATTGACAATAATACCTGTTTCTTGAGCAACAAGCAGCAATAATTGAATGATTTTTGAGGTATCATGTGACTAAAGTAATGGCTGCTGAAAACTCAGCTTTGCCATCACAGGAATTAATTACATTTAAAGGTAGCACTTTATTTTGATTGTCCCCTTTAGACATTCTGTTGACTAAGTAATGTTGCACCTACATGTCAACTAACTCTCATTAGAGTATTAGTAGACTGTCTGCTTAATATGCACTTTATTTTGATGGTCCCCGAACAGACATTCTACAGACAATAACTTTCCAAGTAAATGTCAAATTATTCTACTAACCCTATCCGTCTACTAATAGTCAACTAATACACTAATGAGAGTTAGTAGACATGTAGGTGTAACGCTACTTATAGTCAACAGAATGTGTAAAGAGGATTTACTGTATAGGATTTACTAGATTTATTTAGGATTTATTAGAGGATTTACTTCATTTACTGTATATAGCACTTCTAACAATATAGTTTGTTTCAAAGCAGCTTTACAATGATAATAGAAAATTAAAGTAACAGAGATTGTTTTGGCTTTACAGGAGCTCTAGAATGAAGTTGTTGTCCAGCTAAAGTTAGTTTTGATTGATTCACTTCCGTTGCAAAGATGATTAGTTATTAACTTAGGGGCTGCTAACATGACACAGTTCTAACAGAAAACCCTTAACGCACTCTGGTCCGCTCAGTGCCTGGTGGCTCGAGAATGCAAACCTTGAAATAGGTTCCAAGGTCCAAGTTTAAAAAAAAAGAAAGTTATCTCTGCGCAAACTTCAAAAACGCTGACGGCGTGCTCATGCGTATTACGTGTTTAGTCTATAGGTATGCGCGTTTGTGCGTAGGCGTGTAGTCTTTCTTTAGATATTGACCTCAACAAATTACTTGTCTGGCCTTAAAAATGTATAATACAGAATTATGAATCGCTTCCGCATAGCCATGTAAACTGGAATTATTTTGACAATGTTTTATCTGTACAGAGGTAAAGGGAAGAGAAGGAGGCCTTCACAGGGACCATCAAAATAAAGTGTAACCCATTTTAAAAATAGAAAACAGTTATTTTAATATTTCACACTATTACTGTTTTACTGTATTTTTGATCAGATAAATGCAGTCTCAATGATAAGAGACAATATTTAAAAAAAAATCTTACACACCCCAAACTTTTGAATGTTTCTAAATAATGCATATTAAAATGATTCATAAATATCTATAATAGAGATGCCCATGCGTCACCATCAGCCGGAGTGACTGTGGTTACGCCCACTGAGTGGCAGAAAGACAGAGCGGCAGCATTGATTTTCTCTGTGAATGGCGCGAAAAAAACACAAAACACATCTAAAACAGGAAAGAGCTTTGCGATTGACTGTACAACTAGATTTGACAAGAAATCTGAGGTATATTTTTACAGACTGCCGAAAGCTACAGAACAGAGAAGCAAATGGATCGCTGCAATTCATAGAAACAACTGGACTCCAAGCATGGAAAAGTGGATTTGCAGTTATCATTTTGTGTCAATATGTTGAATTTAGCGGTAAAATCATAACCTATATATTATATATTGTATTAACTCATCAATTAAATATTTACCATCGCATATTCTGCATAATTGGATTTTTAAATAAACACTGACAAGAAACTATACAAGTTTTAGGGCTAGACGATATAATGATATATATAACATTGATATAAGTGATCACCCGGATTTAGACCTACCTATATTATATTTATAGATACAGAGATTCTGCTTATGTAATCCGAAATGTGCATTTCTCTCTATAGGCGTGTTCACTGCGGTCACTATTGCAGCCGACAGTGACACAGAAAACATTAGTTTATTAATAAACAATAAAAATGTCTCTTTGCTATATTTGAAACATTCATAATCATTACTTTTGCCGGTTCTTTGTGACAGCTTTTAGGTGCGTTATTGGCAGCGACACCCTCTGGTTAAATTAATGCATCCCCACCGCATCAGCACCGAAAACATGGGGATTTTTTTTAGACAATAATCGCCCAACCTATTCGATATTCTATAATTAAATCAACTAATCGAATATTCGAAAATCGTGACTCATTCCTAGTCACTACTGCTTTATAAATTTATCCAGTGTAAAACCCGGACACCGACACACAAATGTGGCTTATTGTTAATGACTGTCCTACAGGATATAACACAGAGTAACAGCTCACTACCAGTTACAAAAGACACTGTAACAGTCTGTCACAGGGAATTCTAGTTGCATCAATTCTTAAATTATCCTTTGACTATGTTCTGGCCCGCCATGAAGTGGCGAAATTTTTTTGGGCCCGATGCTAAACTTACTTGCCGACCCCTGCTTTAAGGTTAACGGTGTAACTCCAATTATCTGATAATACTGGTCTCACCACACTTCCCTAGCTGCAGTCAGAACAAAGAAAAGATATGCTAAGGATTGCGCAATGGTAGGTGACGGCAGGGACAGCAGGTGGGGCTTCAGTGTCATTGCTGTGAGTGGTGACCTGTCGGTCAGCCACCGTGTCATTGATCACGTCTGAGGCATTTCCCACAGTGATACTGTACAGGACTCTTACCAGATAACCAGGGTTATGACAGTCACATACCAATTACAGCAGTGGAATAGCCTTGCCCTTTGACAGCCTTGGCAAAGGTGATTTCCTCTTGTGGAAGACCTCCTGACGATGCAGTAAAGAGAAAAACTCCCATTCGGCCTTTTGCTGCCATACCTATGCCATCAAAAAAGAAAAAAAAAATTTATTGTGTACATATTTTTACACTGTACTTATATTTAAAAAATAATAATAATTACATCTGTAATTAATTTCTGTAATTACATCTATAATCATATTGTTGACTATTCCCTTACACCTACCCATACCACTAAACATGTCTTAACTTAACCCGTATCCAACCTCAATAGCAGCAAAAGTGTTTTGCAATGCAAAATGAACACAATAAATACACTAACAGTAGCATTTACATGGACCCTAATAATCCAACTGTAATCAGACTAGTAGCTCAGTCAGAATGAAAAAAGTCGATAGGACAGATGTAAACACTTGATTGAATTGAAAACCGAAACTGGAATGTTTTGGGCATGTGCAATGAAGTAGAAACGGTACGTAATGACGTATAACGCACAGAACGACCTGTAGTTGTTTAAAATAGTGTATTAGGGCTGGGTTTTTTTATTTATCAGATTTTTTTCGATTCATTTTAATTTAATGTTATGCCACGATTTTATTATTTTTAAATCGAGAAATCGCGGTTTTGAATAAAAATGTTAGCAAACGTTACAATTAGACATGTTGACAAATCAGCAGTGATAAAAGTTTTTTATTATTGTAGCTTACTGTATTGCAAAAAACACTTAAGGGCAAATTAAACAGGACAAATAATAATAATAATAATCCCACTCTTTAGCAGAAATCTCTCACATACAGAAGTGTCTTTAAACAAATATCAACAATGCTTTAAAAACAGCACATATTGCTTATTTCAGCAGTAACTCCAGGACTGACCTGATCGGATAGGGTATCTGCCTGTGAGGAAGGCTGCCCTGCTGGGAGTGCAGAGCGGCGCAGCAGCTATGTGTTGGGTCAGTTTCACCCCTTCCAGGGCCAGTCTGTCAATGTTAGGCGTCCTGCAGGCCAGGACAACCACAATACAACAGTCTCATTAAGCTTATGAGAGAGATGACTATTCATCTAGGAATAGGATCAAAACTTTCTTCACCTTTGAAACATATGAACCCATCAAAAGGAAAATCCCATGCATGTCAAATCTACTTTGCTTGCATGAGCAACGTTTTATTCTGTGGGAACTGACTTGACACTGATGGCATGAATGTATACTAATTCATATGCAGAGTACAAAACGGCTAAAAGGTAAGAGATATTCACATAACATGTCTATAGGCAGCAAGCTAGTGTGGATTTCCTGTAGAACAAAAAAGTAACAAACTGAATTGTATGAATAAACCTGAGGGTTGTGTTTCCATAGCATCCAAGGTCTCCAATTCCCAAATCGTCCACCATCATAAAGACAAAATTAGGTTTTGTACCACTGTCTGCATCAGTACAGAGAAGCAGGCCAAGAGTGCACAGGATCCATATAAGAGATTTCATTATACACCCTGAAAGAGAAAGAAGTCAACAAAAACAGAAAATAGATGAACAAAGAACATTTTATGTCCTTCAACATGTTTAAAATGAATGAAAACTACAAATAAGGTTTAAGGCCAAAGAGGTAGGCATTTACTAGCCTACTTATTTTGTTTCAGTTGACAAGGCAACATTTGAAAAAATTTCAAACAAATCCATTGGCCTATTTGAGTTCTACAAGTTTTTTTATGTTCCAGTCTAATATGTATTACTTTATATAAAAGGAATAAATACTTTTAGTTTTTGTTAACATGATCTGAAAAACTGATGAATGGTAGTCAATAACATTTTAAATAGACTAACGTTACACTATATGATTTTTTTTTTTCATCCTAAAAACGGACTGTCTGCCGTGGCTTAACTTACCTGCTGCACCTGCGACGAGAAAGAAATCATCTGACGGCTGACAGAAACTCTACAGATGGCAGGTAATGCATAACATGCTTGTCCAGTGTAAACAGGTTCACGATAAGGAATATCACGTGTCTGCATGTTCAAGCATTGATTGGTCAACTGATCGCGGAAATATGTTTTAGCCTATAACGTTGACCTTTTATCTTCTGTATGTCCAAAACAAGCACTTTTAGCTTGATTTAAATTTGAATTGAAACTAAATTAAAATCTCCACGAAGGAACCGGAAATGTCACGCAGTTTCCTCTTCCATGCATTCTGATTAGCAGCAGTACGAAATGTTCTTTGGTTCAAGCATCTGCTAACATAAGCTAGGCTACTTGTAAAACTTTCGTTTTTGTTTGCCTGCCGCAACATGCTTAGAGATTATAATTATAGATTTTTAGTGAAATAGCGCCACCTCTTGCTCATTTTTAATACAAAAGGACGTCACTGCACCCTCTGCACACGGATTTGCGTGCGTGGTGGTCTACCGTTTTCATGACAGGAAAGAGATCATAATATAAAGCCTGTCAAAACACCGTTTGCAACCGATAATCCCGCTGCATATTAGCAAAATATTAAAATTGTAACTTTTATAGCTCGCACATAAGAGACTGACAGAAATTGCTCTGAAATGAGCTCTTTTTAGGTTTATCTCATTGTGCTGGGCTCATGTGCGTTGAAGGAGAATGAGCTCCCTCAGTGGGATGCGAGTTGTTTCTTAGCAGGATGCGATGTCAACCTACAGATCTATTTCATACAAACTACACCAGTCTCACGCTGTTCAGCTCAGGAATATTCTGGGTTCAGCAATCAACACCATTGATAACCAAAAAATATTACATATTTTCTCTCCTTAAAAAAAGGAAAAGAAAAAAAACTGGCTAAAGGAGGCACTTACAATTCTAGACTAGAGCCAATTCATAAATGTTAAAATGCTCAATTTTACAACTGCCTTGACAACTTAATGCCTAACAATGACTAAAAGCACAAAACGTAACCATGTTCATTTTAATTTAATTTAATGATTGCCTAATCAAACTTGTATAATTTGATTGCATAAAGATATTAACAATATTGCTATTTAAGAAAAGCATGCATGTGCTATTTTAATTAGCAAAACTATTATCACTTCACACACATATGGAATTAAACAGCATACTGCATTTTTTGTCAAACAGTCCTGCAGTTCCTCCTCAACCTTACCACAATGGTAACCCCTGTAAAACTACTTAACAGAAACCCTATAAATAAAGAAAGATAACAGAATATTAAACACTGACACATTTCTCCCTATATTAATCTTGTCCAAAAACACTTAATTTCTGATGCAAAGCATGCTTGGAACTAGAAATCTGCTGCAACTCTGTTTACCTAACTTTTTTCAAAGTAGGCTATAGTGATATGAGCTAATTTCCTTAAGTTAATTTAACTGTTCAGTTTTCTTTAAAATCTTCTCTTGGGTTCCACAGATGAAAGAAAGTCATACAGGTTTGGAACATAAATGATGACAAAATTTTAATTTTCTGGTGAACTATCCCTATCCCTTAGGGTGAACTAACCCGGAATATTCCAATAATGTCTGTTTTCTGATTCTCCCAATCTGGCATAATTTTCCATTGCTTGTTTATTTCTCTGTTCTTCTGCTTTTAACTATTCTTTTTCAAGAACATCTCTATATTATTTATCCATCGAGTAAACTATCCACCCACACTGTTTAGCAGACTACACGGCCTAACATTTATTCCACAAGATGTATCCAGTCTTATTAACTGCATTAGACTTCTGTTTAAACTTTGAGACACCAGGGGCATCTGGGGGTCATTTGCTAATATTCACACTCAAACGCTCAGACTGCGCTGCAAGTTGCTATAGCTAGCAGTTGGTGATGAACACACTTCACACTACAGTACATAAAAATGGAAAAACTACTTCAGCCCATTTTGAAGGTTTGCTTGTATGCAAATCTGGCCTATGGCCATAAACGTGCCAGCTGCCTTTACCATCTGACAAAATTCCCTGATTAATTGTGTAGGTAAGCTATAAAACACAATTCCCCAGGCTTGTTGCCGCTGCACACCAGTGCACAAGCAGTTATGCTGACATTACATTACACTGTTTTACAACATTACCATGTCTCATATTTAACCGCTCCCCTTTATAGGCCTCATGCAACTCTGGGACACTGACTCTATAAGGTACATTTTGAAAAAAAAGAAGAAAAAAACCCCATCTAATTTACTCTCCCATATCCAGATCTGAATAAACAACACATTACCTGCATTAAAAGCTGAACACTGATAATGGATTATCTTATTAAAGTAAAAATGCGTTGGGGTGTTATTTGATAGATGCAACGCAGGAATGATCAAACATGGATCCCCCTTTGGAAATCAGGATTTTTCATTGCTGATTCCGATTTTGTTGCCTTTTTTTTTCTTTGTTGAAGCATGTTTATTTGCTCTATAAAAGGCCAAACTGGCCTGTTATAGAAAAACCTTGGCAAACGGTCCTGAACGCATTCAAGACAGCCTGGAGCGCGAGCTTCCTGTCGCATAACATCGAACACCAATTGGGTCAGAATTAGCGTGTTTTTGACCGCTGACCCATTTGGCGTTCGATAGTTGTAAACAAACACAGCGTCAGCTCATGTGTGAGATGTGCTCCTGCCCATACGTCATAATGCGTCAGGAAGCTCGTGCTCAAGACTGTCGTAATGCAGAGGCTGTGGATTAAAGTTAAAATTGTTGTAAATAAATAATGTTCAGTTTCTTGCACTTTTGCTTCAGACATTAATGTGTCAGCAGGAGCCAAGGGTATTCATTTTGTTTTGCCTCTATGTTTTTTTGACTCTCAAAGTGACTAGCTCTATTGAGTTGCATTATATGATTAAGAACCACGGTTTTAGCTAAAAATCTTCTTTACTGTTCTACTGAATTTTGTGGGTGAACATATCCGTCCCTATGTAGATGTAGACGTATATCCGAGGGAAAGTTGCAATTGTATTTTCTTCTCCATTGAATGGTGGTAAATGCTGATAAATGATTAATTTAATTTGTTTGTAAATTTAGTACACATAATGCATTCATAATCACATAATCATAGTAACCATTAACTGTCACTGTTTCAAAAAAATAAAAGGCATCAAACAGTCAATGTAACATCTTGACCAGTTGATGGCAGTATCAGCTTGCTGACATGGACTGAAAGGTTAGATATCACTGCATAGTCTTGTCCTGGAACTGCTGGCCATTTCCTACTCTCCAAGCTTTATTTTGTTTCCTGAAATATAGGGTAGAATCTAAAGTGCCTACTGAACGCAAACTTCAGTAACATTATAAAACCTGTATGCCATGTCCCTGACTCAGTAAGCTGAAACACTTTAGTACTCAGCACATGCTGCTAAGGATCACTGAACAAACTGATTTGGGCATCAGAATATCTTTTCTTCACCATGTGTAGACACAGAATTGTAATCAGCGCAGTATGACACAGAATGTGCACTGATGCAAAGTAATAAGAACAGCACAACACAAGAACCTGCTGGGCATCACAATGTATTAAGCTTCAGGAAATTTTACACAAATAAGCTGAATAAAAAAACTCTTCATTAGTAGGGGCATTATGATAAATTTGTCTTTAGTGCAGCATGCATATTAAATGGCACTCAAGTAATATGATCAGACCAGATATGCAGATAAGTGTTGGCAGTTCCTCCACCTTCCCCAACCAGGGTCATGCCACCATCACTCAACACGTGTGTCAGCAAAAGCCTTAGGCTCCTGTCTCAACAGGTAGACCCCTCTGGCTCATGTTGGCACGTTCCAGCACAGCCGGCCCACCCAGGTGGAACAGACCATTGAATATCATGTTAGGGTCCTGAACCCACCTTTCATGCTTGGTGGTCGATCTTATCATATAGGGGCTATGAAAGACAGCACACCTGCATTGGCCTCTGAATGATAGCAGGATATTTGAAAACATTTAAAACAGGGTTTATCAATAATTATATTTTTAGGAAATTAAATTGCAGTTTAATTACCTGTGTTTAAGTAATCAGTTGGGCTGTTCATAGAACATAACAACATGTTTTTTTTCTTAATTTTTCTCTCCCGTCTAAACAGAGCCTGCCTTTTGCATTGCTAGAGGGCGAGGCCCACATCCCCACACTCCTGTAATGACTGAATAAAGACAATTTGTCAAACATGAGTGAACGCCTTAAGGGAGATAAAAGAGAAAGGAGCATCTAACAAAGTTCCTTCACAGGAGCCTTCACAATGTGTTATAGAAAAGGCCTCTTAGAAATGGCCGAATGGTGTACTCCCCAATCTTGTAGTAACATGTCCTTATTGTGAAAGTAATATGGTCCTTAGAACCTCAGGGTACAGTGATATCTATATTAATGATCTAGGCCTAATTATAAAATCGACCCCTTTAATCCTGTAATTAGATGTATTATTAGATTTTATTGGATTATTAATAATATGCCTATTAGATTTATCAACATTTACATCTGCTGAGCATGTAATGACTGAATATGCAGTTGAAGCCAGTATTTTATCTCAAGTCACAGAGCTTTATCCCCGCTTACAGGGTAATGTTTTTAGAAAATTCTGGCAAGGTTCTCTCAACATTCTAGACAAACGTTATCTGGTCTTTAATAACGCTATCAAAACATTAGCACAAAAATGTTATATATATACAGTAGGCCTACATCATGGATTTTTGTGTGAGATGCAGCATATTAGCGAAAAGGAGAACACCGGATGTTGACAAACATTTTAAAACATTTAAACTTTATTTTAGCAAAGTTTATTCAGTCTGCTGCACATATTCTCTGTTTTTAAATCCAACAAAACATTATATGTGAATAGCTCCATATTTTTTCCTTTGATTCAATTCTGTCTTATTTACATAATGGCTTTGGTATCTTCTCAAAGACGAATATGTAAGAAGGTCTCAGGAAATCCCATTTCGAATGTAAATATTGTTTTTTATTAGGTGGGGTGGTTCTCTTTAAAGGAATCTGAAATGCTTTATGGGGAAGAATA